CCACCCACACACACGCACACACATACACACACACACACGTGTATACACATATATATATATGTGTGTATTATTTTATATATATGCATCAATAATTTACTAAATAAAATGTATGTAAAAGACAACAGTGTAATTAAAATAATTATCTTCATTTGTATTCATATGTAAATAATATGGTATGTTTCTTGTTTAGGAAGAAATTATTTCAACAAAATTGAAATAACTAATATCATATTTATTTTATTATTTTTCCTCTTAAAAGAAAAAACTTTGACCAGGGCACGTTTATTGATATGGGCCTGAGTAGGTCGATAATTCAGATCATTTCTATGGTTCAACGACGCACTTTTCATAACAGCGCCGCTGTCGGAATATCGCGGAACTAAAATACTGCTTAGTTTCATGGCTTCACGTCAATTTCATTCGTAATATACAAACGAAATTTTCGGATACACCTTTCTCTTATACTAAACTCCTACCGCGTTTCTAAAAGCATAGGATTGTTCGTTTAGGTTTTCCGCAATTCGCCAGCTACTTTTTATGAACGTGCAAAATCTGAAACTCTTATATGCAACACATATTGTGATGTGTTGACTACAGAAGCCGATAACAAAACTGTAAGTCTTTAATTTTTTTTCGTTTTTCGTATTCAAATGTAGCTGGCGATTTGCGTTGTTGTCGATACTTTAATTGTGGAGAAGGATTTTTCAGTCCATAAACACAGAAAGATGTTTTTAATATTTAATGATAAAACAGGACACTCCAGCATCCCCTTAAGACCCTAAACTATCGATTTAAGCAAAAAATTTTGATTTTTTTTAAAGTTTCAGGATGGGGTAATCCTTTGTCTGCTCTTTATATGCATAAGTGTGACCGATAAATGTCTAAATGTCGATACTTATCACAAATGACTAATAAGTGAATTAAATTATGAATAATACAGCATATATTCGGATGTACAAAAATTCACGTTCATTTCGAATAATTACAACATCTCATAAAATCTCATACAATGTTTGCATCATTTATATTTTATAAAAATGTAAAATGTCTAGAAAATTCAGTTATAAAGATACTTACGACTAGTTGATGTAGAGATTTTACTAGGAATGTATAACTGTTGATCCAATAATCCATAAGCTAAAGTTTCCAAATTGTATTCCTCGGCAGTGGCTAATGCTTTCACAGTCCATTCCTAACGTAGAAATTTCTTTTATACATATTATTCCTTTATTTTAAAAATGACACAACTGAAAAAATTAAGTTTCACAAAAGAGAAAACCTATTTTTTAACTTGATAGAAAATTATTGCCTTATCAAATAATATTGACAGAAAGATATTCTTAATCTGATATTCTTATTTCATACTTTTTTTTTAATAATCTTTTAAAACAACCATCTTTTGTTTGTGACAATTTTAATATTTCTTTATGAATTGAGTTAGTTACATTACTTAGGTTCATTAAGTTAGTTCATTTTTGATAATTAACAGAATGATGTTTATTTAATTCATATACAGTCATGTTTTTTTAGTTGTATGTTTTGTGCCATTTTTTAAGTATAGAGGTGATACATCTTTTCTTATTTTTTTTATTACAGGATTGTAAAATTAAAGCAATATTCTAATTCTTTACACAATAAACTTACATTAAGCTTTGGAATCTTGTCGTCAGTTATTATGGCTCTATTTCTCCTAGATGGTCTTTTTTTTATTTGAAACGTAGATACATTATCTACGATGTCAATTCTATTTTCTTTTGGGTTAACTTTATCCAAGCAGATTGTAGAATTGTAAAAATGTTTCTTGTGAATTATGCACATGTGATATATAGAAAATTCTGCTTTCATCACTGCTGTCCTTTCTCGCAAAATATTCAAACTCGGTATAATTCTTCGGTATGTATCAATGTCAATTTTACTTCTGCAGCTCGATATCACAAGCCTTTGAATCATTGCGAGAATCATGTTATGTTATTAAAAGTATACCTGTTATGGTATACTTTTACCTTATACGCTATTTTTGCACGTGCAAATAATATTTATGCAAATACCTTTCAAAATCTTTAAATAAAATTGGAAAGAAATTTGTGTTAAAATTTAACGTACAGTCATTCTGCGATCTAAAATTTGGATATTTATAGAATACTTTTCTCACCTCTTAATAAAAATGTACTCATTCAACGTGCCTTTACTCAGAACGAAAGAATCCGAAAAAGGAGGCGATTGGCTTTACAAAACAAGCATTAAAGTTTCGAAATTTTAGAGGTTAAAACAGATGCCTTCCAACAAGGGAGACACAGATCCATAGACTAAAGTCTATGGCACACGATGCTTGTTTTCCTTAGGGTGAAATCATACGGTGTGGAAAACGACTGCGATATAGAGAATGCGTCATAGAAGCAACCAAGCGTTATTCTGCGTTATTTTGAATAGTGCTAATTGGTTGTTTCAATGACGCATTCTCTATTTCGCAGTCCTTTTCCGTACCATGTGATTTCACCCTTAGAGTCCGTTTTCCTGGGGATTGATTGTGTTAATTTATTTCTTGAAACCTAAGAGTGCAGTCACATGGAGTGAGAAATAACGGAACGGAAAAAGAACGGAAAAAATAAATGATGAGAGTTGACGAATCAGAACAATTCCGTTATGTTTTTTCGTAGTTGAATTTCACACAATGAGAAAAATTTTGACGGAAACGGAACGGAATAACCTCAATCTAGCGAAAGCATATGAATCTGTCAGCATGATAAAATATTATTTATTATAGTATATATGCAAAATATTAGAGATATTTTAACAATTAATACACACACACATATATATATATATTTGTTATTAGAAACAATTAAAATATACTTATTGTGGTTGGTGCTTGAAAGAGTACTTTAACAAACTGCGGAACGTTTGATTGGTTGTATTTTGAGAGGTTAAAATAATTTGATGTTGATTGATATGATGGAATTGCATAATGTCGAGACGAATGAAGCAAAATGACAAAATCTGAGTTCATAAATATAGATACCAAGATAAAAAAAATAATGATGCATTACGTGTGATTTCAGTATGCCCTTTTCTGCACTTTCCATCACGTCAATTTATGTGCTATGTTCACACGATGCGGAAAAATGATAGTAAATTATTGGGTCATCTAAAAAGTATCCGCGGTACTTTGTCACTAGATAGATGACCATCAACACACATCTAGTGACAAAAAATCGCGGATACTTTTTAGATGACCCAATATATGGATGCTGAGTCTATCTTATATGTCTATGCAATCTATGCATGCTATGCGTTAATCAGAGTTGGTGTCGTTGATGAAAGAGACTTTTAGACGAGAATTTGCACATGGATTATTGACAAGTTTCCCGTAGTGAAACTTTTTGCAGTTTTAAGCCATTTAAGGATAAAGGGAGGATTTTATCTTCGCGCAAGTATTAATTATTTAGGTAACAATCAGAATATTTTTTAACGGCTATATTTTATCAATTCTTTCCAGAATTCACTAACCTTCAAGTTAACATATTCTTATTTATATTTTTTAATGCTACATTCCAAAATATTTCCTTTGAGGAAAATTTTACTATACAATATATAATACAATATTGCATGTTACTTGTACTTATATATTTTGAAGAAAATTTTTCGCAGACAAGACATTTTGGAATGCAGCTTAATCTTTTATGAATGCATTTTCGCAAATAGTCACCCAAACCTTTTTATCGCCAGGCGGCTCCGTCCATAAGAGGTTAAATAAATTTTGATGAAAATTTCACAAAATTGTCGACGATATATTTTAAAAATATTTCTTGTATTTTTTATATTACTAGCAGGATGTTATTTTTAATGTCGTTGCATTGTACAATCTTACATGTTTTTAGCAAAACATGGTACTATCTTGTCGATTTTACAAAGAAAAGTATCCAGAAGTGGAGGATGTGGTGATGGTAAATGTACGTAGTATAGCTGAGATGGGTGCATACGTTCATCTATTGGAATACAATAATATTGAAGGCATGATCTTGCTCTCTGAGCTCTCTAGAAGACGTATTAGGTCTATCAACAAACTTATCCGAGTAGGCAAAACTGAACCAGTTGTTGTTATTCGTGTAGATAAGGAAAAAGGTAACTGAAGATATTTTATTGGTTCAAATAAAAAATCAACAGAAAAACTATATTGAGTAAATGAGAAACAATTGCAGTTAGTGGAAAATTAAATCATTTACATAAGTTTTCAATTATACAATTCTCATTATTTATAATGAAATGTATTAATTATGGATTCTAGGTCTGCTGAGGATGTGGAAAAATGCACAGAGAGATATGCTAAGGCTAAAGCTGTTAATTCAATTTTAAGACACGTAGCAGAGTTGTTGCACTATGATAATGATGACCAGCTTGAGGAACTCTATCAGAAAACAGCCTGGCACTTTGAAGAAAAATACAAGAAACAGAAGGCATCTGCTTATGATTTTTTCAAACAATCAGTATTGTAAGCAAAATCTAACTGCATTAATAACTGCAATAAGTTAAATTAGATCGCTATATAAATAAATCAATTAAAGAAAGGTCAAATAGAGGCTAGTTTTTGGTGTCCAATAATACTTGTGTATAAATTTTAAATATATCTCCTAGTTATATAAACTGTACGTCAATACTAATTAGCAGTATATGTAACGAGAAGATATATTTAAAATTTACTTTTTAAATTAGATACCAAAATCTAGTCTCTACCCTTCTTTACTTATTCAGCCCTTTTTTATTTATTTGAAAAAAATATATTTAAATGTATCTCTGGAAATATATTTATGAATATAAATACTTTTAGGGATCCCTCCATTTTAGCAGAGTGTGGTTTGGACGAACATACGAAAGAAGTGTTACTAAATAATATTAAACGAAAACTTACTTCGCAAGCGGTTAAAATTAGAGCAGATGTAGAAGTGGCTTGTTATGGTTATGAAGGCATTGATGCTGTTAAGACTGCATTAAAAGCAGGCTTAGCTCTTTCCACTGATGAACTTCCTATAAAAATTAACTTAATTGCTCCTCCATTATATGGTATATGTTCTATATTATTTTTCAAATCAACATGTCAAATCATATATTAAAAATCATGACGTTATATATCTTGTGTGATTTTCAGTCATGACGACATCTACTCCAGAAAAACAGGATGGTTTAAAGGCATTAAGTGATGCAATCGAAGTCATACAGAATAAAATAATGTCACTTGGAGGTGTATTCAACGTACAAATGGCAGTAAGTTTCATGCATAAATAATGTTCATCTAATATTTTGTATATTATAATAAAGAAATTATTCTGTTTTTTTTTCTACAATATTAGCCAAAAGTCGTTACTGCGACGGACGAGGCAGAATTAGCGCGACAGATGGAACGAGCGGAACTTGAAAATGCAGAGGTTGATGGTGATGATGAAGAAGAGGTAGAAGGATTAGAAGGTGATTTTAGTGGTGGTGAAGGAGCCGAACAAAACAGCAAAAATATCGAACAGAATGGCAAAGCTATAGACGAGAATGATAAAGAAGATATATCCGAGGAAGATAATTAAAAAAGATATATACATATATATATATATGGAAATAAAGTATTCTCGATTAACTAACAAACATTTATATGTTTTTCTAATTGAAATTAGAATTTAATAAATTTTCTATTGTCTTTTTGTTGGATATATCAGAACAATGTTTTAATAAATATGAAAATAAAAGATGTACAGATTAATATAATTTATAGAACTGAAATTTTCTACTGACTTGATATATAATAAACAATCTAAACACATTTTTATTTTTGATAAAACAAGCATTCCAATTATTCATTTATGATATATTTAAGGTGCGTTCTGAGTTACGCATGTAGCATGTAGACCAGTGTAGACTGCAGAGAAAATTCTGATTTAATCAATGCACGCGTTACAAGTGCTTTGGTAGTGCTAGAATTTTCTAAATTGTATTATTCATACTGGTATCAATTATAAAACTTTATCCCTAGGATAGAAAATGAAAGGCCAATACATGCGATCGGTTTTTGTCGACAAATATACGACAAATTTTTCAAGCCTGTCGATTGGTTATAGGACAAAGAGGTCCGAGATCCTTTCTTGCAACCAATTAATAAAAGCTTGAAAAATTCGTCGTGCGTACATACGACAAAAAACGGACGTATGTAATATTGGCCAAAGGTGAAGCTAAAACGAAGCTCGAACTCCGGCGAAGTCACCAGAGGTGCGCGCATCGACATTGTAGGGAACTACGTTCTCAATATCTCATTAGCGCAGCGAGTGTAGAAAGCCTAGGGATTTTGTAGGTTGCGAGTTGCCTACAAATAGCGTCAGAGTAAAATAAGAAGATAGATAGATTATGGCGCACATCCTGTATGGTCATATTCATTCGAGTTCGAGTAATAAAATTCATCATTATTAGTTACAAGAAAAGCGTCGATCATTACACCTCATATCACATCACACGACAAGCGTGGACTTGAGAATTTAACTCGTCAATTGAGTCACTTATTTCCATAACATGTTTTTATATTAGGTGCGCAACTAAGTTCCCGCTGTTTGTCAATAGATGGCTCCAGCAGTAAGTGAACAGTTTTATCGTGATGGTATACGAGCTCTGCCAGAAAGATGGGAAAAAGTAGTAGCTAGCGATGGGCAATACTTTCAATGATTCATTTGTAACCATTTTTTCACAATAAAGTTGCATTTTCATCAAAATAACAGCGAGAACTTAGTTGCGCACCTAATATATTGGGTCATCTAAAAAGTATCCGGTTTTTTGTCACTAGATGTGTGTTGATGGTCATATATCTGAAAGACACAGAACGCCGAATGAATTGGTTAAAGTGTATAACTGGCAAATATAAAAATTGGACACCGTCAAAAAATTCATCTGTGAGATAGTAGAAGTAATTTATTCTTTATAAATAATGTGTTTAAAATATTAAAATATTAAAATAAAAATGTAACATAAAATATACACAGATTAATTATAATATCTGAAGACACGGTAGTCTCTTGACACTGGGAATGACGTGTATACGAATGCTGAGCGAAAACCCGGAATGGTAAACAAAGCAATAATTGTGTCTAGGTGTTCGAGCTTTTAATGGCGTTGCAATATGTTAGATAAGAACAGCATTTAAGACACAACGATATATTGGGTCTAAAAAGTATCCGCGGTTTTTTGTCACTAGATGTGTGTTGATGGTCATATATCTAGTGACAAAGTACCGCGGATACTTTTTAGATGACCCAATACATTTTCTGACTTTCAAGGTGCGATTAGATTTCTGTCTCTTAGGGTACGCGGTACGCAATACAGTAACTAATAATAACTAACTAGGCAACTAGGAAACCGCGTATCACGTACCGCCTATTTCTTTCGCTGATGTTACATTATGGAGCGCGATTTGCCGCACGGTTAGTGACAAATTCAGATTAGTATAAATTTTTTAAAATATATTAATTTATTTTTATGCACATTTATCGATACTCTTATTTTTTTAACAGATTTACTTAATAATTGCGTTTAAATCAATTAATTCTATTAAAAAGTGCATAGCAGTGTATAGTAATGTGAGTGTTTGTTATTAACCCGTGCCGCAAATCGCGTTCCATGTAATATCAGTGGCCTAATTTTCATTAAAGGTTCCGGTAAACCGGATCAGAATGTAAGAATCAACCAACTACAGTCGAGTATTCCTCTGTTACAGTTGAACGACAGGGGAATGTTCGATTGTAGTTGGTTGATTCTTACATTTTGATCCGGTTTAAACCCTCGATGGAAATTAGACCAATGATGGAGGTGTATGGAATAATACAAATTTTGTCAAAGTTTTGAAAAAAGGATTAATGGATATATCTCCTCCAAAAAAATTGCCAAATTCTAGTTGCTTTCTATTTACAAGTGAAACTGAGTCTGAAGTGAGCTGAGTATTTCATTCTCAGATTAATGACGTCACTCCCAGCAAATAAAAATGGATTAAAATGAAATAGATTTTCAGAAATATTGATTCACGAATGTTAAAATGAATGCAATCCTGAATGCATTTTTATTCATTTATAGGAATTGCATGGAGCATATCTCTATGCTCTTCAATCTAAAAATAATATTAGCTTTTTCTGTGCACAACACACATTGTGAATAAAAATTGAAGTAAATAAAATTTTAAGTTTAATTCAAAATTTTGAATAGGAAATGCAGTTTTTCAATCCAATTGAATCTAATTCAATCCAATTAAATCCAATTAAATCCAAAAAAATATTTGCTATTTAAAATACGCATTCGGATAGAAAAAAATTTCTAGTTTAATCCATTTTCGTTTGCTGGGTTACTTGCTTATTTTGATAAAAAATTATCACATGTTAACACAAGTTCATAACTTCACTTTGAAGTAAGTTTACGCGACTAAAGTACACAGTCTCGATCTTGTGCGATATTATGAGTAAAAACTCAGTTGAATCTCACTTGTCAGAATGCAAAAGAAACGCGCATTCAATTGAGTTATGACATCACAAGTGAGAATTATCTGAGAATCGGTGTAAATGAAAAGCAACTTCTGATATTATATTATGGGTCTTCTACAAAGCTGTTAACATATTGGGTCATCTAAAAAGTATCCGCGGTTTTTTGTCACTAGATGTGTTGACCATCAACACCATCTAGTGACAAAAAACCGCGGATACTTTTTAGATGACCCAATAAATCAGAAGTCAAAAGCTAAAAATTGATGACTGCGAGTGGCTAATTTTTAGCTTCGAACTTCTGATTTCTCTAGTTAAAATAACGAAGAAAAACGGACCAGATAGGACGGAAACAGATAGGATTTCTATCCGTTTTTAAGCTTATTCGTTCTATCCACAAACACAATCTGCGAATAGAAAATCCGCAGCAGTAGATCCTATCTGTCTGCATCCTGTACGTAATCACAATTCGCCTGTGTCTGCAATTACGTACAAGAATTTATTCATCGGCGTTCCATACGTCGCGAAAGATATCATTTTATTACTGCTATGTAGACGATATAGTATTGGCTACTTGTGAACAAGTTGATCACATAGTTAGAATTTTTAATGGTTTTCATTGTCGTTTACAATTTACATGAAATTGAAAATAACAAAAGCATAAGTTTCTTGGATCTTTCTTTGAATATGGTTGATAATATGTTATTTTTTCAACGGATTTATTTTATAATTGCATTTAAATCAATTAATTCTATTAAAAAGTGCTTACTAATATGAATTTGTCACTGTTTGCGCGGTTCCTATAATTACCTAGATAGTTTCTGTACTGCGCTACATATTGTATAATCGCACCCTGAAAATTAATGCAAAGAGAAAAGACCCTACATCAACCATATAAATTTTGGCTCTCGGTAAAATTATCTGAAAATTTAGTATATTGTCCTCCTTAGGAGCATTTATATTAGCCGTAATTGTATGTCGTAATCTGTAAAAATTGACTAATCACCTTCGAGTATACCCTTCTTACAATGGAATGAGAGGGGAATACTCGATTGTGATTAGTCAATTCTTACAGATTACGATAAACGCTCCCTTATGCGGAATCTACAATAGAAGTCGTAGCGGTCATAGAGTCTTAAGTAGAAAATTAATCAATTACAGTCGAACATGAGAAGATTAATCGATTGGTCAATTTTCTACGACTTATGACCGTATGACCGCTATGACTTCTATTGTACACTCCGCAACAACTACTGTCCGCAACTTACTGTCCCGAACAAATGGCTGCGTTCAGCAGACTCAACAGTTGAGTGAGCGCTCGCCGTTATTGGTGTATTCTTTTAGATCATTTAATCAGCATTTTAGATCTGGAAGAATATATCAATAACAGCTGAACGCAGCCATTGCGTCATGTCCCGAAACATTAATTTTGAATAAGACCAACATTTGAAAATTTGATTTGTTTCAGGTCATCATACAGTTTTTAATGCGAATGACTCTGAAATAATTGATGATGATGATGTATTCATTGATTCTATATGCGTTTTCAATGGGTTGGTCTAAAACAATATTTTTCTGTTACTATTTAGTGGCAGATAGGCTTTTCTTGAATTTTCTAAAGAGACTATTGGTAAGCAAATTTCCACTATTGTTGTTGTTTATTATTTTCTTTCTGTAAAAAAATAATAATAAAATAATCAATGATCATGTTTGAAAAATAACTGGTCCATTTAGCAAATAAAAAGGAAAATATAAGATTTACGAAAAGATGACAAGATAAAAAATTTTATAACTCATTAAGGTCTATGTTAAGATCTTGCAGAAATCTATCTCATCTTAATACAGAAAATAAAAAAATATTTGAAAGAAAAATTAACATGCTGCTCAGTATTATATTTGTTTCGTAAAAAAAGAAATATTTATATTGCATTATCATATAAGGAGGAATTGCTGTTGGTTTTAAAGTCACCTTTCCACGTTCTATTGTATGTTTTACGCCATTAGAAAAAAGTATTTTATTTCATTTTATTTCACAAAAGATTTCATTTTCCATTTCGTTTTATGACCGTTAACTTCTTCCTATTTATATTTGTCGAATGAACAGAAATTTGTTTTAAAGCATTAGTTATAGAAATATTAGATACTTAAGATAAAAATTAATCCAAGCGTGAATTTTATATTAATACAAATACAAACCCTTCATGGGACTTTAAACATTGTTTTATTTTTCCAACATTGTTTT